ATCACTCAGAATTACAACTGCTCTCCAGATGGCAGAGATCCGTGGAGAAAATGGTAGACTCTGTGGCAGTCAGGGCTTCAGAGCATGGAAGAGGCTGCAGGTGTGTGTGTGTGTGTGTGTGGAAATGGAAAGCTGAAGAGTGAGGGGGAAGTAAAGGTAAGTTGATGATTGGCTGGGAAGGAGATAGGGTTGCCAACTCCAGGTGGGAAATTCCTGGAGATTTGAGGGATGGAACCTGGAGAGGGTAAGGTTTGAGTAGAGGTGGGATCTCCGACAGGTACAGTGCCATAGGCTCCACTCTCCCAGTCAGCCATTCCCTTCTGGGGAACCACTGTTGCCAATCTCAGGAGAGGGGTGGAAATAACTCAGAATTATAACTGATCTCCAGGAGGGAGGGGCGAGGAGATGGAAAGCTGACATCAAAGGGGCAGATAATGGCAGATTGATGCTTGGCTGGGAAGGAGATAGGGTTGCCAACTCCAAGTTGGGAAATTCATGGAGATTTGAGGGGTGGAGCCTGGATAGGATGAGGTTTGCGGAGGGGTGGGACGTCAGACAGGTACAATGCCATAGACTCCACCCTCCAAACCAGCCATTTCCTCCTGGGTAACAATTGTTGCCAATCTCCAGGTGAGGGGTGGAGATCACTGAAAATTACAACTGCTCTTCAGGTAGCAGAGATCAGTTCCTCTGGGGAAAATGGTGGAAAATGTGTCATTATACCCTGCTGAGGTCACCACAACACATTGACACTGAGTGCCCAAGGCCTTTCTAGAGCTCATTGTCTTTATTTCCACAACTGGCCTTATTCCTAGTATATAATATTGCTCGGAGAGTACAGTGCACCTCTTAAGTCCTGTTCTGTAGAAACTTTAAAGGTACATGGTTCTCTTAGTAATGTACCTCAGCAAGTTTAAATTAAAAAAAGAACACCTTATTGGGCTACCACCACTGAAGATATGAGATCTGAGACAGTGAAGAAGTGGGAGAGTTTGGGTGTTAACATCTTCTCCCCTCTCCACTGGAGTCCAAAATGGAGCTGCCTCATTCTGTTCATCTGAGTTTTGGCTTCATCTTCATTTCTTCTAGGTTCATGAGCGAGTTCATACAGGTATTCGGCCATACAGATGTGACTTCTTAAGTTGTGGGAAAGCCTTTGCTACAGATAATTTTTACAGGTTGTTTGCTGTGACACATTAAGAAAGAGAGAAGGGTTGCCCTGACCTGGATAACCCAGGCAAGTCCAATCTCGTCAGATCTTGGAAGCTAATCAGGGTCGACAGGCAAGTGCTTGGATGAGAGACCTCCTTGAAATATCAGAGGTGGGGGCAGGCTTTATTTAGCCACCTCTCTGAATAACCTTCAGGCCCCCAGTAGGGGTCAGTCACCAGAGATCGCCCGGACTTCCAGGTGCACATACACTCACATGCTCATGTGTGCATATGGGCGCACACACACACACAATGCACATATTAAAAACCACAACACTCCCCCCCCAAGGATAGGTCTAACTTACATTGCAATGGTGGGGGGGGGGGAGGAAAGAAAGAGAAAAGAGTTGAATCCAAAGGTGGCTTTCTGCCAGAAGGAGGAAAGAAGATTTATGCCAATTTTCTCCCTCTGACTACAGACCCACACTGTTCACAAGGGTCCCATTCCCTAAGCAGGTTACTTAGTGGGCCACTGCAGAAGGGTCGAAGTACATATGCCCTTTCCATTGGCAGAAATGAGTGACACCTTAGAGTTATGAAGGCTTAGGGTGGTGGGAAGGAAAGGTGTGTGTGTGGGGAACATGTTTTTCCCTTTTTATCCAAATACTGTTTTTCAATTTTTCCCATAGAAAATCTGGGGGAACACTGAAAAGAAACTCTTATGAAATATTTTCTCATTTAGAAGGAGTAAGGCCTTGTCTGACAAAGCATTTACAACATGAGAAGAGTCTCAGATCTTCCTTAGTTTTCCCAGTGGAAAAGTTGGAAAGTTTCTGCGATTGCAGAAAAAAAGACTCTTATACTGTAGATATTTTCAAGAAGCTTTTTGTTTAAATGTAAATAATTTTAGCAACAATTTATGTGGTATAATATGCTTAATGGTAATATATTATTAAAGAGTTCAGTATTTTCAGTGTTATACAGTTTAGATTAATATCCAGATATGTTGGCAGTCCTACCTACGGTGACTCCTTGAGACAGTTTCTATCCAAACAATACACTTTTCCTTACTATAGAATTTGTTTTCTGCCTTCAACTTTTATTTTTTTCTACCTCTCAGATGGCTAATATTAATGATACATGTGCTATGATAGCAAAGGGTGCAGCAGTCTGCAACTCCTCTGATATGGGGTATATTAGGAAGTTTTCACATAGAAAATGAAGATGTTTATACTTTTAAATTCCATAAACATGACAGATAGTACATTTAAGTTATAAATGATCAATTTTATTTTGCTAAATCAGTAAAAGAAGTTCAGTTTAGCTAGGAAATAAGCATTGCATATATTTAATTTCCCCCAAAATATCTGTTTTTCCCTCCCTTTCAATATTTTTATTACATACAAGTTCTTTTACATTTAATTTACAGGTCTCAATGAGTTAAACAAAGTTACATATTCTGTAATATAGTAAGTTAGACAAATGGACTATAAGTTAATGAGTATATTATCAAAAATCAATGAGATCAGCAAACTATAAAAATACATGGACATAATTACTAAACAATTGCTTTTATCTCTCAGTCATTAATTCTTTGAGCCAAATTAGTGGATACAGTTTTGACTGGAAATACCAGAATCACTACTCCCTGCTTACCCAGCAACTCTAAAATATTTTACATGTGGCATTCCATTAAAAACTTCAGGCCTTGTAAGAAGCTTGCACAATTAATTATATCAGCATCAAAATATTGTTTCTTATTCCCCAAATAAAAAAGGTTTTCCAGCTCTTGGAAAACGTAAGCAATTTGGTTATTTTAGATAACCTGGTGATTTCTCAAATTTATCCAAGATTTAATATTAAAAATCCCCAATTGGGGGGGGGGGGGGGTTTTTTTTCTTGGGGTGTGGCTTTAAAATTTCTGGAAATTTTACATCTCTAGCTGTGCCTACAGAAAATTACCTTTGGATTCAACTCCTTTGATGGAATTATACACACCTGAAGTATTTTTAACTTGGAAATAATAGAGCTAAAGTTATTTGACTTGGAAAGATGAAAAAAAGCAGTCTTAAAGATGAGGCTTCAGGTGACCTAAGCATTCCAAGCTTTCTGGTATGCAGGAAATCCTATAATAATCAGTGTGCCTCATTCTGTCACTATACAACTGTAAAATGGTTAGGTTCTGAGTTCACACACCCTTTTCTCTTGCAGGATATAGCCTGAAAAATCATGTGAGAATCCATACAGGTGAGAAGCCATACAAATGCCCAGAGGATGTATGCAACAAAGCCTTCAAGACTTCTGGGGACCTGCAAAAACATATCCGGATACACACAGGTGTGTCCCTCGGGGCTGATTGCTCTAATTCAGGGCTAAGCTAGAAACTGCAATGGTAAAAGAAAAACAACATAGTCAAATACTACACGAAAGGCAAAAAAGTATACAATTTTCCAGCTTCTATATCCTATAAACTCATTCATTTAGAATAAATTGTGCAAAATGCATATAAAAGTAATTGTGACAGAAACACATTTGCTTCAGATCAAAGAAGGAGGGGGAGGTCGGGGAACAGGCACTTAGGAGTAACATGGATGGACTTCTGCTGGCACAGAAATCTTTGCTCAGCTCTGCCCAAAGCCAGAAGTTACTGAGCAACACTCACTTAAAAAACAAACAAAAAACTTCCTCTGTAACCAAGAGGGTTAGAGAGTTGGCTTTGTTTTTTCAAAGAAAATATGTGGCACAGTTGCATGTAGTTGAGTATGTGTGATGTCCGGAGGGACACATGCAATCATAATATAGTTTTTCCCTTCTACACAGGTATAATAGGTAATTTCAGTCATGTGGTCAATGAAAGTTAATAAGCAGGGCTTTTTTTGTAGAAAAAGCCCAGCAGGAACTCATTAGCATATTAGGCCACACCCCTGACAGCACAGCTCATTAGCATATTAGGCCGCACCCCCATGTTACCAGAAGTGTGGTCATCCAGCCACACCCACCTTTTGCTGCTTATTCTGTTTACCTTGTTTGTTGTCAAAACCCTGGGCTTTTTTGTAGCAGGAACTCCTTTGCAGGTGAGTTAGGCCGCACACCCCTAAAGTAGCCAATCCTAATGAGTTTCTGCTGTTGGGTGTGGCCTATTATGCTAATGAGTTCCTGCTGGGCGTGGCCAACTCGGGAGCCAGCCGAAACTCCGTTCCTGTGCATTCCTGCCCAAAAATAGCCCTGGGGCTTTCAAATATTGTTATTCTGTTTATCAGTAATTACATCCCACATTTCTGACATAATGAGAAAATTACTGTTGCCCGTCTCTGACATCAGTCAGAATGGAGACTTTCAGCTTCATGAGCCAGATATCTATATATCTAATAGCCAAGTTGCCCCCTCTGTGCGAATATCTAAATCCACACATCAGGGGCACATAGGGGGCAGAGAGATTTTCTTTCACACTTGGGGCAGTCCCCAGGTGTGCAGAAAAATATGAAAAGTTTAAAAAACTATAGGGGGGATACTTAAATCCCTCCAAAAGTAAAAAAGCATTCTCCCTCTGAGAGGAGGACATCTTGATGGGTGTTTCCCACCCTATCCTTAGGGAGGCAGGAACCAAATTTCACTTCCTGTCCTCTCGGTGGGACATGCCCCTCAATTCAGTTTGGGAACTCCCAGCAGCAGTAATGCATTGAACAACATCTTAATAACTGAGCCAACTTTGGCTGTACTGCAAAAAACTGAAACTATTAATAGACGAGGAGCGAGAGAGGGACAGGAAGGACCAAACGGATAAAGAAAGAAGATATAGAACTGGCAGAAAAGATGATGATGACATGGGAGGGCCAAGATGTCCTCATTATCTCAGAGGGGAAGGACCCTTCATGGTAAGTACCAATGGCCCTTTCTCCCTCTGAGAGGAGGACATCTTGATGGGACCTCCCATAGCAGTGTCCTCAGTATTTGGGTGGGTCATCGTCTGCATTTGTCAGAACATGTCAAAGGACTCTTCGCCCAAAGGCCGTATCAGCAGAGTCGAAGAGATGGATCTTATAGTGTCTTATGAGCGTGGATACAGATGATATCCCTAAGGATAGGGTGGGAAATACACATCAAGTGGCAGGGAGAAGCCTTGGCGGCCTGGGAGCCGTGGGGAATACACCCCCCCACGAGTATCGCGGGTCCTGCTTCGTGTATACATCTATGTATCAGGAAAAATAACAAGAACTACAGTGTAACCAAAACAAAGAATGTCAAAGCACACTCGCGGGTCCTGCTTCGTGTATGCGTCTATGTATCAGGAAAAATAACAAGAACTACAGTGTAACCAAAACAAAGAATGTCAAAGCACACTCTGAAAGCTACTCCACACAGGTGCAAACTGAGATTGTATTGATGGAAGAGGAGTCTACCAATCCCTGTGTAGGAAAGTATAAATTGGTTTTTGGATGAGGTCTGATAATTTTTTTAAAATATGACCCTGGTGGATGAATATTTTCTGACCCTTTCTTTAAAATATTCAAGCTGAGGATCTTGTAAATCCTGTTAGAATTGAAAATGGGGTACTGTTCAGGTTGCAGCAACCTGATGAAAATATGTTAGTCTTCTTAACCATCAGGCTAATTCTAGGTTCATTTATATAGTTCTGTTTTTCATCTTCATTGGCCTTGTGAAATTATGTAGTGGCTGTAATGGAGATGGAAAGCAGTGACTTGTGTCAGTGCCAACATGGCATTCATACACCTAGTGTCACTCAGGTTAGTGAAAACTGTCCTGAACTTTCAGTACTCTTTAGGTACTTTTTCGGCTTTGGGTAGATCACACCCAGAAAATATAGGTAAATGCTGAACTTCCCCAGTCCAGTACCTGTAAAGTATTCAGATTGGGGAAATATTCAATATTGCCGAATATATTCAGGTTTGATATAAACCACCAGAGGGAAAGGAGGCATGTTAAAATGCCTTCTTTCTCTCTGGTAGCCCCTACAGATTTTCTTGTCAATTTCACTCCCCACCAGTCAACTGTGAGTGAAATTGACAAGGGAAAGCCTGGGCTCTCTGCCTCCCTTTCTCTAGCTGGCATGGGATAGCTGGAGAAGGGCAGGCAGGGAGCCCAGGCATGTTTAAAATGCCTTTCTTTCCCTCCCCAATCTTGGGGAGGGAAAGACATTTAAACATGCCCCCCCCAAATTTCTCCACAAAAGCGGAGAGGCTCAGGGAAGCAAAGGGTGGGCATGCAAACATGCCTGGGTTCCCTACCTGATCTTCTCCAAATGCTGCACGGCTGCGGAGCACCTGGAGAAGATCAGGCAGGGAGCCCAGGCATGTTTAAAATGCCTTTCTCTCCCTCCCCATTCTCTGGGAGGGAAAGAAAGGCATTTAAACCCAACAGCTGACTGGCGGCTCAGCCTGTTAGGTTTAAATGAGACCTTGTTTTCGGTATAGCAAAATGAATCTGAAGAAAAGCCAGATAATATTGGCATTTTCAGGTTCAGCTATATGTGATACCCAAAAAATACTGACAAGGTATTTTTTCAGTTTGGATATTGCCGAATGCACACCCCTAGTACTCTTATTAGCTATTTTAGGGTGAAGTCTATCTGTTCCTTCTTTTAAAGGTGAGCGTCCCTTCAGCTGCCCTTTTGAAGGCTGTGGCCGCTCTTTCACCACCTCCAATATACGCAAGGTCCACATCAGGACACACACTGGTGAGCGGCCATATGTGTGTCCAGAGCCCAAATGTGGGAGAGGGTTCACTAGTGCCACCAACTACAAGAACCACATGAGGATCCATACAGGTAAATATGGGCAAACAGATACCTACTCTTCTTGAACAGTAGCTTCTGGTTGTGTCATATACTTTGTTGATTGCACTTGACTGGTCAGCTTTGTAGACAGCTTTTAGCCAGGACTGCTGAATCAGTTGGGAAGCAAAGCCTGCTGGGCTTGCTCAACTGAAGCGGCCTTGGGAAGAGCAAAGATGGGTGGATGAATTTGCAGCATAAATCTGCTGAAAGAGAACTAGAAATTTCTGTCCCTGACTTCTTAGGGCACACTTAGTTTATGCCACGAAGTAAGTCTCCGGTTCTGCATGCATCTTGTTCTATCCCAGGAGAGAAGCCGTATGCATGCATGGTACTGTGCTGTGGAAAACGCTTCACGGAATATTCTAGCCTCTACAAACATCATGTGGTTCACACACATTGCAAGCCATACACTTGCAGTACTTGTGGCAAAACCTACCGGCAGACCTCTACATTGGCCATGCACAAGCGCACTGCACATGGGGAACTGGAAGCTACAGAGGAGAGTGTTACAGGCCCTCTTTGAGCAACAGATGAAAGGTGAGCTGACAGTAAACTCCAGCATGATGAGAAGCCTCACAGTCAGGGGTCTGCAGCTTCCCAATTCTTTACTACGCAGCCTAATCCTTCTGTTCTCCATTTTGCATGTGTGGCTTACCTTCAGAGATTTAGACAAAAGTAAGGCCATTTGATGTACACTCCCTTCTCTACTGAATCTCCTTTTCTTGTTTGCCCAGATACTGCTGTTAAGAATCCATTGACATTTCAACATGTGACGCTTGTGAAGCTGAAAACTGAAGAGGATGAAGATCGCAAGCCTGTAGCACTGGAGGTTGTGTCTCAAGATGGAACAGAGCAGGTATAAAGAGCTATGGGGTCTTCAGAGCTTGGGAAACAATCCAGAGAGGTGGCAATCTTGGGGGGGGGGGCTTGGTGTTACTCAGGGCAGTTCTGATAAAATTATTTTAATTGTAACATTTACTTTGAAAGCATCCTAGTCCTTAAACTGCACCAGTATATCTGCCTCCACTCATCATTTTGTGACGATATGCTGGCATAGCAACTTCTAGGCCTTACTCCTAAATACTTGGGTGCTGGCACAGGTCATAGTATCAGCATATGTGGCCTTTGGCGCTTGAATGTGCAGGCTTTTGCACCACTTCTCTATTAACAAGATGATCACCGAAAGGTCCAGACATTTCATAATCCCAGTCTACCTTCTGATCATGACTGTTTGGTTATGTGAGTGAGCTTTGCCTCTGCTCTAGTTGTGCAGCATCAAAAGCTGTTACTGGTACCAGAACCTGGGACTATGCTCTCCCTTTCCCCCGCTCTGAAGCTGGTCCACGCATGCATGTATACCACAGAATGCATTATGATATACCTATTTGTGAATGTGTGGACTGACTCCTTTGGAAAAGCATCAGATTTACATTGGTATGAGGAGGCATGAAAGGTCTTTGTATATGCATGTACATTCGAGTGAAGAACATACCTGTGTGAACCAGCATGTCACATGACTATATTCCTCATGTTCAAAACTGAAACATGCCTTTAGCACATGACCTGGCATTAATCTTACTTTTAATTGTAGCCCATTAATGATGGGCTTGCATTTAATAAGGGAGTAAGGAATGACTTGTCTTGTTTGTCTGTTGCCTGCTCTTCTCAGGTCACCCCGTCCTACAAAGACCCACAGGCATTTGGCAGTGGTATCACCATGGTAACAGAAGCTGGCACCATGCCCCAGGAAGAGATTTCAGGAGTGGGCGCAAACTCTGTGAGTATGATCAGTGCCATTGGGGCTGCGATACATCCAGTATAGGTTGCTTCAAAATATCTCTGTGGGGTGTATTCTGGGGTGGCACCCTTTTCAGTAGAGCTAGTTACAGGGCTGTGATACTTTCAGATGTCCTTCAGTTCTCCCCTTGACCACACCATGGCTTTAAATACCTGCAGCAGGAGAGAGAGAAATGCTCAGAGTTCAGTTCTAGTTGTCAGAGGAAAAAAAATATGGCAATATCCTAGAGCTCACCAGTGTTATACTTAAATGTTTTAATGGTTTTTTTAAATCTTTGCTGCCTTGTAGACCCTGATTGGGTGGAAAGGCGGCATAAAAACGTTTTAAATAAATACTTGCCTCCATCTCCACCTAGGTGGTTAGTCTTTCCCAAAACTGCCAAGTTCTAGCTACTCTGTAAGTGTGGGGAGAGTGATGTCCCGTTTCTCTCCTTTCAGCTGGAAGATAATGGCAATATCCTAGAGCTCACCAGCATTATACTTAAATGTTTTAATGGTTTTTTAAAATCTTTGCTGCCTTGTAGACTCTGATTGGGTGGAAAGGCGGCATAAAAACGTTTTAAATAAATACTTGCCTCCATCTCCACCTAGGTGATTAGTCTGCCAAGTTCTAGCTACTCTGTAAGTGTGGGGAGAGTGATGTCCCGTTTCTCTCCTTTCAGCTGGAAGAACAGCAAAGTCTGGGAGATGCTGTCAGCATGGCAGCTACTGCAACTCAACAGGAGTCCATCACACTTATGACAGCCACATCAAACAGTGGATGCTGAGACCTCATTTGAAGCCTGAGGGAATAGCTCTCTGCAGGGATGGCGGCAGCAGCAGCAGCACAGACATTTGGAGGCTTCCACGCTTCTGATTTGGAATCCAAATGATGGGTTACTCTATCAGCTCTTGGACAGGGCCCTTGATCATTGCTGAAGTCTCTATATCCAGTGTGTGAGGTAAACACCAAGAGCCAGGTGACGAAACAGCACGGACTGTTGAAGAGACCCTTGTTTTTCAGTTGGCCTCCTCTCACTGCAATAACATGCAATAAAACACGCTGTCACAGGGCTGGCTTTTCCTCCCATCAAGTTGCGTGTGGCAATTCCAAGATGCTGAGGAGGGCTGAATCTTAGTATGATGGCTGCATTTTACTCATCTCAACACTATTATAGACAGAATCATCCCTTATGGATGGCTTTTATTCCTCCAGTCTCTGACACAGATGGTAGAATGCTCCAAGGTGTATTTAATAAAAGTTTGAACTTGTGATATGTTTTCTGTTTATGGCACCTTGGGTTGCAAACCATTGGGGCCTGTGTCGACTTCCATTGTAATGCTTCTCAGCAAGAAGTTGTGCAGCTGTGTACAGTCAGACATAATCTAGCATCTAACACGGTGCAGGAATGATACTGCTGTGCAGGAGTTTGTGATTCTGTTGGGACCCTACTGGAACTGAAGGGGCAGGTAGTAGCTGTGGGTAGGAGTGCCTTTTGCTAGCCTAGGTTGGTTTGCCACCTGTCCTCCTCCTTTGAGGAACCACAACTTGGCCACGATAATTATGCTTTAGTGACATCCCAGTTAGACTGCTGTAACATGCTGTATCTGGGGCTGCTTTTGAAGATTATCCAGAGACTACCGTTTGTTCAGAATGCAGCTATCCAAAGGCATGCTGTTTTGCTCATACAAAACCAGTATTACAAGATCTGTGGGCTCTTAATACCTCAAATTCTGCCTGCTCCTATGTCAGCCTACGTAGATATTAGGATCTTCCACAAAGCCTCTGCTCTTTGTTGCCCTACCATTTAGAAATAAAGTGGCTGTTCAGAACGGAACCTTGTCTGCAGTAACACCAAAATAGCACAACTCCCTTGTAAGAGAGGTTTACTTTGCGCCTTCTCTGTTATAGCATTTAGGTGTGAGTCCCAGGCAGCTCATTTTCAAATATCTTTTGGAATGTTTTGAGTGCCTTAATTTGAATTGTTGCTGCAAATTGTCTCTTCTGTGTTCTGCTTTGCTTTGTTTTATTTTCATTTACTTTAGTTTGTGTAGTTTCAGCAGGTAGCCAAGGTGGGCTGTAGTAGAGCAGCTAGAGTGGAGTCTGTTAGCATCTTGGAGACCAACAAGATCTTTGGGATATAAGCTTTTGAGGGTCAAAGACCCTTTCATCAGATCCAGTCAATGGAGCTTTGACTCTCGAAAGCTTATACCCCCAAAACCTTGTTGGTCTCCAAGGGGCTACTTGATTCCAGTCTAGTTGTTTAGTTCGTATACGGGTTCTTGATTTTTTTTGTTAGCCACTTTGAAGATTTAAAATGAAAGGTGGTTTATAAATTTTCTAATAAAATAATAATGAGAAAACCACAAGAGGTGAGAAGTGAGCTATCAGTTCATTCTGTAATATTAATAAGGTCAGAACTGCATGTGCTTCATAAAAGGGATACCATTTTGTTTAACTATCCAAATGCCTATTTATTTACCATACTTATAATCTGCCTTTCTCACTGAGAAAGCAGATTACTCCGTGTAAATCAATACACTCTCTATGATTGATACACTCGATAGGATAGTAAGCAATATACTA